CCAACTTGTCGTGCTTATATGCTTCCAATGCCTGTCATATGTTCGAGTGAAGTATTACGGTGTAAACAAACTGCTTGAGTATATACGGCACCATACTTTGTTCGGAGATTCCGTTATTCAGATCGATAACCCACTCAAAACACTGGACTCAACCCATGCCGCTTCACTCAGTATATTTGCTAACACCAAAGAGTTCGCGTTTTATTTAGTCATGGTAGAATGGAGATAAACATACTGTTTTCAATGTAGAGCTAGGTTACCTGAAGCTTTAACCGCGCTAAGTTTAACATTTGATACCTCACGCTGCGCGTTTGGTTAAATCTACAGGTATAGCTCTACACTGAAAACACAGTATGTTTATCTCCTAAATGTAGTTTCTGTTTAGACTGTTTATAGTTGCAATTTCAAGTTAACGTGAGTGAGCTGGTTTTTACAGTACTTTAGTAATATCGCGGCTGAATGTTGGAGTTTAGCCTCAACAACGCAGTCATATGTTCCTTCATCGTTGTGGTGAAATCCATTAACACAGGGAATCGAAGTATCAGCGGATCCTGGTATCGCCAAGAGACGTAATCACTAGGACCATTTTCAAGTTAGAGACAATTTGACTATTATAAAAAAATCGAACTCAAACAGAAACATCAAAAATATTTTATTTATACATATGACGTTACATCGTGTGGACTATATACAACCATTAACATAACCACACACATCAGCATCTAATAGTCGCTTACAACTGCCCTTGATATAATACAGTTTAAAAAACAATACATAAAAGTACCGTATTTCCTCATACAGACGCAAACCCAAACGGGCGATCATTTTCAATATATTCCCTTCTCTAACCCGCAAGGTGCGCTGAACAAGACAGATGGCGCTCGTTGCAGGTTGAGTGAGTGAGTGAGTATGGTTTCACGCCGCTTTTAGCAATATTCGAGCAATATCACGGTGGGGGGCACCAGAAATGGGCTTCACACATTGTATCCATGTCGGGAATCGAACCCGGGTCTTCGGCGTGACGAGCGAACGCTTTAACCACAAGGCTACCCGACCGCCCCCTTTATATTGTAAGAACAGGTTCTTTTACATTTAAATTGCGCATGTATTCATCCATCAGTAAACCCAGGACATTCATCCGGAAATATATGTCCCCGATTTAATTTAATTGTGGGACCAAGGTTCTAAAGATGAATTTTAAAACTGGACTTCTGATATGAATGTAATGTTGATATTAGATTGGTTAAAAGTCACATTTCTTTTCACATGAAAATTTCATGACGTGAATCGAACCTGCATCCTCGCATATCGTGTTTAATATTGTAACCCACTGTTTTCCCAGTGAGCATCTGAGAAAGGTGATGGAAGGGTGTTCAATCTAACATGTCATGACTTAGTCGTGTGCATGCTGCACCTGGTCTTACACTGTCCACTTTCATCGAATTCCTTTTATACCGCGACGCACTGTATTGTTTCACTATAAGGTATTCCGATGTATTATTTTTTCTTTATTTCTTGCAAATATAAGCTAGATAAAAACCTCCTCCTCGGTCTTGACATAGAATCACTACATTCTCAGTCAAAACCCAGGAGGAGGATCTTATCCTTCACTTACATCATTACAAAAGTCTAGTAAATTAATTAAGGCCTGTATTCGACGCCGGGTACTTGATGCCCAGGGCGTCCATCAGAGGAAGCATAAGTTATTCTTTTAGATGTTGTGTCCGTTACAAGTATCATTGACCACAACCAAAAGGAGTCAATGAAACCACATTAGTTCCACGTGATTAACGAAACACGTAATATTCCTGTGTATTCAGGTAGGCGACCAAAACAGCCATTGACCGGAATGCAGGGTTTCTGGATTATCGGGGTTTCTCTGTACAACGAAATGATGGTTAAACAACATTAAGTACATTGTGATTTCATGTTATTGGCTAAATTCATTTAAAACAAAGGATCCTGGATTCATCAGACGTGAAAGAGTTTTGTTTCGGATGTATCTCCTTATTTTCAGCAAATTCACAATTCGCGACCCTTGCAGGTTACGGAAAGAGGCGATTTGTGTGTTTGTTGTTTAACGCCGCACTCCGCAATATTCCAGCTACATGACAGCGGTCTGTAAAAAGTCGAGTCTGTACCAGACAATCCAGTGATTGACATTATGAGCATCGATCCACGCAATTGGGATATGATGACATGCATCAACCAAGTCAGCGAGCCTGGCCACCCGATCCCGCAAGAGGCCTTCCTCGAAACGTAAGATATCATCTTCAAATGTATGTATTTAGGACAGGTCATTCTTGACATAGAGATGAGTAAGGGGAATAGTACACTGCCGTTCAACGGTGCGAGCGTAATGGAAAAGGCAAGTGACGCAGTTCGGGAATCTTGGAGTGAGGGAGTGAGTTGGGTTTAACGCCGCTTTTAACAGTATTCCAGTTATATCGCGGCCTTATGTTGGAGTGAGTGAGGGAGTGAGTTGGGTTAAACGCCGCTTTTAACAGTATTCCAGTTATATCATGGTGTGTCAGCTTAATGTTGGAGGAAAGCCCGAAGTGATGCAGGTCTCAGACGTTTACCACTTCGGTGAAACCCACGAGCACGGGTATGGTGCTGACAAACCTAGAAACATAATCGGGGCGAACCAAGATTCGAACCCACAACCAAAGATCCATTGCGATTTTGATGTTCGACAACACAGATTAAACGCCAAACAAATCATTACCAAAACTTATCACCTACCGTACATCAGAAACATGAGAATGTTCGACAAAAACTTTAGATCTAACGAACCTCGCCTATATCTTCCCTTGATGTGAGGCTAATAAATATAGGGAAAGGTTTCTTCGGCATCTGCGCGTTACTTTAAATCCAGCGCGTCAGTCATTTCTATTGGCAATAACAAATATTTTTCAAATTTCCCCGGGTCATATAAACTTGCTGTTATCCATGCTCGACAACTGTCATTGTATTGAGGAGCTGTTTAATGAGTGACCAGTTGTGTTTTGTACGGAAACCTTTTAGGGCCATTTGTTTATATATATTTTTTTCTTGAAATGTCAAGATGTTATTTTGAATTTTCAAGATTCTAAGTTAAAATTTCAAGACACATAATGATCTTGAAATTTCGAGTTAAGAAGTTGAAATTTCAAGTTAGTTGAAAAAAACACAAAAAAACCAAATGTCCCGGAAAGGCTTCCGTAGTTTCGGTTATGCTTGGTTAAAAAAAATAAGGGTTATTCCCCCATCACTTCGGAGAAAAATATGCCCGAGGAACATGTTTTTTATACAGCCCAATAAACGTAAAAGTTGAATTTGGAGCATCGTCAATACTTCACCCGCTTTGCTGTGCAATCGCTCAATTCAACCAAGAGAGTTCCGAAAGTTCAGACCAGACCAATGAGCGTTCAGCTTTTAGATCGCAAAAGCATCAAAATTTCTCGTGAAGCCGTGAAGTACTGACTGTCCGTCTGGATATATGATAGGATATTGGAGTTCCCATTAAAGCCTTTATATCAAGAGTGGACCTTTGTTACAAATAATTACATATGTACATTATTTACACAATGTGAGCAAAGACTTAACAAGCAAGCAATCTCATGTCGCAAGGTAATGTGGCTGATTTTCATGGGTTCAACTATCAGTGTCTTTACGGTAAATAGATCATTTGAAATATGACATTACGGGAAGCGCTGACTACGCACTCCGGGGCAGATTACAACTATCAGTGTCTTTACGGTAAATAGATCATTTGAAATATGACATTACGGGAAGCGCTGACTACGCACTCCGGGGCAGATTATCATAGGTACAACTATCAGTGTCTTTACGGTAAATAGATCATTTGAAATATGACATTACGGGAAGCGCTGACTACGCACTCCGGGGCAGATTATCATAGGTACAACTATCAGTGTCTTTACGGTAAATAGATCATTTGAAATATGACATTACGGGAAGCGCTGACTACGCACTCCGGGGCAGATTATCATAGGTACAACTATCAGTGTCTTTACGGTAAATAGATCATTTGAAATATGACATTACGAGAAGCGCTGACTACGCACTCCGGGGCAGATTATCATAGGTACAACTATCAGTGTCTTTACGGTAAATAGATCATTTGAAATATGACATTACGGGAAGCGCTGACCACGCACTCCGGGGCAGATTATCATAGGTACAACTATCAGTGTCTTTACGGTAAATAGATCATTTGAAATATGACATTACGAGTAGCGCTCACCACGCACTCTGTGGCAAATGTTTGGCAATTATTTGAGTCTTGTCTGAATATCGTAACTGTACCATCCTCCGAGTCAGAGACTTCGGGTGAGCTTGTCACACGTGTGAGGATATCATCGGATGTTGCAACTTTACCGCATTGCTTTCCCATTAGCTAAAATCATTCCCTCTCCTGCATGCATCTGAATTCACAGTTGGAAAAAGTCCTAATTCGGAATTCAATTGGTTCACTGTGCTGTCCCGACTCCACTGACGATGGAGTGATCTCCCCTGAATGACACAGCGGTGGTGTAAAGAGCCTTGTGCCCCTCAAACAATCTTTCATCTAACTCTCAACTTCTTTCGCTTTCGCGACATGACATGCGCTCTCCATGCCTATTCATGTCCAATTCAAGTCCAAAGCAGTGATTCTTGTCCTGTTGTGATCAACTGCCGCATCAACTGACCTGAGGTCACACATTATTGCACCTGAACGACCACCCGCCCGTCCCTCGTCTCACAGGATACCGTTCTTCCGGAACTGCAGATCTCATCTCCATCCTCATCTGAACCATCTCCCATCCGATCTGTTCCCCTCTGCCCCCTTATCTGCCCCCCACCCCAACCTATTCCATCCCCTTCCGTCCCTAATCTGACCCCAACCCAACCCCTATCCATCTGTTCCCTCGCTGATCTGATCCCTCCACCCTGATCTGTGCCCCTTCCGTCCCTGATTTGATCCCCGCCCCACCCTAGCTGATCCCCTCCCCACCCTGATCAGATCCCTACCCCGATAGAACTGATATACATACTTTTGTGATTCTGATGCGAATTTCTACTGAAAACACAAATATTTGGATGATGCTGACATTTGCCAAAATGTGGAATTGCTTTCGAGGTAATCCCCAAGTATACCAAGTTTTCACAGTTATTTCATAATGTGTGCTGCTCCTCGTCAGTAGAACGTGGCAGTGTGCAGAATAGCCCGGTCTACGTTGGATTCGAACTCCTGGAGGATTTCGTCAATCTCGTTATCCAGGTCGTCTGAAGTGTGCAGCTGAAACACAGAGCATTGGTACATGAGCTGAAGGTATCAAGACAATATCCCGTATGAAACAGAGCAAAGCTTAGAGTTGGGTGAGGTGATTTTGCTTGTTTGTTTGATGTTTAACGCTGCACTCAGCAATAGTCAAGCCATGGCGGCGGTCTGGACCAGACAATCCAGTGATTGACATCATGATCATCGCTCTATGCAATTGAGATACGATGACATGCTATCAACCAAGTCATCTGGCAATAAGATCGCTTCTTTCAAACAGCACAGGTTACATGGACCTATTCCAACCCTGGATCCCTACTGGAAGACCAGCACGGGTTGCTGGGGATCTATTCTAACCCTGGATCCCTACTGGGAGACAAGCATAGGTTGTTGGGGATCTATTCTAACCCTGGATCCCTACTGGGAGACAAGCATAGGTTGCTGGGGATCTATTCTAACCCTGGATCCCTACTGGGAGACAAGCATAGGTTGCTGGGGATCTATTCTAACCCTGGATCCCTACTGGGAGACAAGCATAGGTTGCTGGGGATCTATTCTAACCCTGGATCTCTACTGGGAGATAAGCATAGGTTGCTGGGGATCTATTCTAACCCTGGATCTCTACTGGGAGACAAGGACAGGTTGCTGGGGATCTATTCCAACCCTGGATCCAAAGTGCAACACTGTAACCACCCAATCCTCAGTCTCGACGGTTCTGGGGAAAGGCAGGGAGACTGGACATGCCCGGATGTTCAAGCCAACGACTTCCTTACCAAGGTGACGAGGTCACATATCATGAAGGCGCCTATCGTGGCCTCCTCATGGTTGTCTTGGATATCAATGTTGATGATGTGGACAGCCTGCTCCTCTTCCTTCAACCTGGACTCCAGATCTGTCAAGAATTACAATTACAAATCAGTTAAATCTTTATTGCACAAACTGTGCTTGAGTAAGTTGGTTAGTTTGGTGCATGTCGCTAAAACAGTACAGTAAAGTACCGTTATAACGAAAGGGACTACTTATTTTAGTTGGTTATAACCGTAGTTCGTTATAAGCATATATACAGCATAACTACAGCAAATAGTCGGGACCAAAAAAGTAGTTCGTTATATCCGTCAGTTCGTTATAAGCGTGTTCGTTATAACCGTAGTTTACTGTATTTCAGTTATATCACCTTAATGTGGGTGGAAAGCCCAACCTGATGCAGGTCTTAGTGAGTATGGTTTTATGCCGCTTTTAGCAATATTCCAGCAATATCACGACGGGGCACACCATAAATGGGCTTCACACATTGTACCCACGTGGGGAATCGAACCCGGGTCTTCGGCGTGACGATCGAACGCTTCAACCACTAGGCTACCCTACTGCCCCATGCAGGTCTTAAGACCTTTACGACGAGCTGGGTATGGTGCTGAGAAACCTAGAAATATGATCAGGGTGAAACGGGATTCAAGCCATTTGCTTTACCAGAGACCAGCGTTAGGTTTCTCGCTGCATTGATCAAGATTACATATCAAGTCCAAAGTTGGTGTTAGTGTTGGCAGACAAAGGATTAAAAATTTGTGGATCCTGGCACTGAAAAGGGACACACCTTAGGCACACTAAATCATATTTACAATTGCCGAGGACCCTTGAAGATTCCGGGGTAGAATAGGTCTTCAGCAATCCATGCTTGCCGTAAAAGGTGACTATGCTTGTCGTAAAAGGCGACTAACGGGATCGGGTGGTCAGGCTCACTGACTTGGTTGACGCATGTCATCGATCCCAATTGCGTGGATCGATGCTCATGATATCAATCACTGGATTGTCTGGTCCAGACTCGATTATTTACAGATCGCCGTCATATAGCTGGAATATTGCGACGTAAAACAACAAACCAACAACAACAACAATTGCCGAGTGCGTTTATGCAAATAAAAGTCAAAGGGCAAAAACATACATGCTGAACGCTCTGACTATGTTTGTTTGTTGTTTAACGCCGCACTCTGTAAATAATCGAGTCTGGGCCAGACAATCCAGTAATTGACATCATGAGCATCGATCACGTAATTGGGATACGATGCCATTCATCAACCAAGTCAGCGAGCCTGACCATCCGATCCCGTTAGCCGACTCTTGCAACAAGCGTAGTAGCCTTTTACGGCAAGCATGGGTTGCTGAAGACCTGCCCTGATTATGTCACATGCCCCGATTGAGAATGAACAACTCACCATCAATGACCTGGTCATACACACGCTCTTCACACGTGACAATGACGTCAAACTTGTCCTTGCAAGCCTGGAAGCGTTCCGGCTTGGGCTTGATGCGTCTGTTCCTGTCCAACATGTGAAGGATTCCGTTCTGGGTGTAGCTGAGGTAGGGTTAAGGACGTGTTTGGAAACGTGATGACAACATGGACAAGAGACCTTAGCTCCTCGAATCATGCACTGCGTAATCGAGTATGCTACCGGAGTGTGTGTTTGTTGTTTAACGCCGCACTCAGCAATATTCTAGCTGTGTGACGGCGGTCTGTAAATAATCGAGTCTGGATCAGACAATCAAGCAATTGACATCATGAGCATCGCACCACGATATTGGGATACGATGACATGCATCAACCAAGTCAGCGTGCCTGACCAACCGATCCCGTAAGTCGCTTCTTACAGTGAGTGAGTGAGTATGGTTTTACACCGCTTTTAGCAATATTCCATCAATATCACGGCGGGGGGACACCAGAAATGGGCTTCACACATTGTACCCATGTCGGGAATCGAACCCGGGTCTTCGGCGTGACCAGCGAACGCTTTAACAACCAGGCTACCCGATCGCCCCCGCTTCTTTCAAGCACGGTCGCCTTTTACGGCAAGTATGGGTTGCTGAAGACCTACTCTGACCAGGTTCTTCACGGGTGGAGTGTCTCTTAAACATAGAAAGGTTGTTTGCATGTAAATTATGCGAATTATTTTGGGACTATTCCGATAATTCGATTTCGGCCGATAACCTTGATGAGATTATTAAAGTTACTCCTGATAACCTTCCTACGTGGTGCAAATATAACAAATGTACTTCAAAACCTCCAGCGGGCACCAGAAGTGGGCTTCACACATTGAAAACATGTATAGAAAATCGATACTATTTGTAAATCTAACGTTGCATCTTCATCAAGCTATGAATCAGTGAACGACGGTGTCGACCTACCCGACTCTGCTGGCTCTATGACGCACGAATCTTGTATGACAAACTCATTGGGCGGAAATAACCAACATATGAATGGCACAATGAGAGACAAAATATACAGGGTTCTGGTGGAGGGGCCGGGGAGACACGATTTTGTTCACTGCTTCAAACCACCCAATATTATTCTGTGAAAGGACCCGAACAATTTCAATTTAGAAATCATGAGGACAAATAAAAGAAGAAATTCTTTCTTTAACAAAATGGAATATCAATTGGCAAGTCCCTCACTAAAAACAATTCGTTGATAACATGTTTTCACATCCGGTTTTTTTCTGAGTAGAGTAAACGTTTCTAAAACGTCTTCAGATGAGTAATCTAAAAAATATCGTATTTCATTACTTCACTAAATCATCAACAAAGGACAGCTCAGAGACAGATGAGCGATTGAGTGAGCGATTGAGTGAGCGAGTGAGTGAGTGAGTGAGTGAGTGAGTGAGAGTGAGTGAGTGAGTGAGTGAGTGAGTGAGTGTGTTCAAGCAAGTTTAACTTCGCTTTGGACATTATTTAAGTTACATCACAACCTGTCGTCTAAATGTGGGTGGAAAGCCCGAAGTATTCCCTTGAGCGCGGGAATGGTTCTGGTAAACCAGGGAGATTCGAACCGGATAAGCAATTGAGAGGGGTGTTACAACTCAGGATGGTTAAAGACGAATTCCACACTTGATAATATCATAATTATTATTATACATTTTTATATGGCACTTATGCAGGTATTAGTATCAGCCCAAAGGCGGTTTATTTGTTCCCCGACCATTGGATCTGTTTGAATTCCAGTTATCTTTCTCAACTCCCTGGGGAGTATACAACCAAAGCTGCCTACGGGCGCTAGAGGGTTTTTATACCCAACCATATGATAGAGGTGTGGCATGAAGTGCAACTCATTCTTCCGGACAAAACTGACGCGATTCCCGTAAGAAAAGACAGGAGTGGGTGAATGAGGTGGGTTCTCGACGCTTTGAACAGTATTTCACCGATACGGCGGCATGTCAGTTGAATCTGGGGAGAACGCCCAAAGTGATGTAGATCAAAGACGATGATCACTTTGGTTGAGTCCGCTGGCACGGCGCCAGGGACTGCAATCAGGGCTAATACAAATGGTGACCGGACCCTACACACAGCAATATTCCACCTGTATGACGGTAGTCTGTAAATAATCGAGTCTGGACGATACAATCCAGTGATTGATATCATGATCATGGATCTACGGAATTGGAATACGATGACATGCATCAACCAAGTCAGCGGGACTGACCACCCGATCCCGTTAGTCGCCTGTTACAGTAAGCATGGGTTGCTGAAGGCCTATTCTACCCTGGAACTTCACGGGTATTCAGCAATACAGGGAAACCCTGTTAATCTTGACGGTACCGTTGCCAGTTAAATCGTCCTGATTATCGAATCATTGGATAGTTACCCCTTTACCTTAAACAGACGGGCCCAACAGTAATTGTCCAGAAGGTGGGGTTTCTGGTTTAACGGGGTACGGCTTACCGTGGTTTCACTGCCACCAGCCCACTCAACTTTACGTGTCACGTCAAACGCATCTGAGAGTGGCCTTCCGGCAGGTTACCCGTACAAACGATAACCCGCCACAGAAGCCATATTGGCCAAAAAAACATTTAGTTGTGTCTCTAGGGCGAGCCAGGAACATTACTAAGGCAAGCCAGGAACTTTACCAGGAACTTTACCAGGGCAAACCAGGGGCGTTACCAGGGCAAACAAGGAACGTTACCAAGGCAAACCAGGAACTTTACCAGGGAAAGCCAGGAACATTACCAGGTCGAACCAGGAACATTGCCAGGGCGAACCAGGACCATTACCAGGACCATTGGCAGGGCGAACCGGAACATTACTCGGGCCAACCAGGAACATTGCCAGGTCGAACTAGGACCATTGCAAGGTCGAACCAGGAACATTACGAAGGCGAACCAGGACCATTGCGAGGTCCAACTAGGAACTTTACCAGGGTAAAACCAGGAACATACCAGGGCAAACGAGGAACACTACCAGGTCCAACTAGGAACTTCACCAAGGCGAACCAGGAACATTACCAGGGCGAACCAGGAACTTTACCAGGGCGAACCAGAAGCGTTACCAGGGCGAACAAGGACCATTACACGGGGGAACAAGGACCATTACCAGGGCGAACCAGGAACATTGCCAGTGCGAGCCAGGAACATAACCAGGGCGAACCAGGAACAATACCAGGGCGAACTAGGACCATTACCTGGCCGAACCAGGAACATTACCACGGCTAACTAGGACCATTACCAGGGCCAACCAAGAACATTACCAGGGCGAACTAGGACAAGTACCAGGGCCAATCAGGAACATTACCAAGAACACTACCAGGAACATAACCAGGTCAAACTAGGAACATTACCAGGAACATTAACAAGGTAAACCAGGAATTTTACCAAGGCAAGACAATAACTTACAGTGTCCCGTGTTTATGAAACCATCCTTCGTGATTATTGGCGAAGCCATATAAATAATTGATATTTTGTAGTGTTGTTTTACGCTGTATCTGTGAGTGTGTGAGTGAGGTTTTACGCCGCTTTTAGCAATATTCCAGCAATATCACGGCGGGGGACACCAGAAATGGGCTTCACACATTGTACCCATGTCGGGAATCGAACCCGGGTCTTCAGCGTGACGAGCTAACGCTTTAACCACTAGGCTACCCGACCGCCCGCTGTATCTGTGTACATTGTTGTCGCTGGATTCGGAAAATAGCAACTGTCGAGGCAGAAAAAACTCGACACGTTTCGTTTCATGTAAGTAATTATGAGGAAAATTAATATTGTTTACATTGCACCCTCTCCTGCCCCTCCAAAAAGAGGTATCTGTATCTGTATCTATACTTGTGCGGGTATATTAGTTTCTTGTGAACAACGCATGTGGAGACGGGCTCAAATTCAACATCGACATTTTGTAAGAACGTTATATAGAGGAAGCAGAGCACCAGGAACGCTGTCAATCCCAAACACTCAACAATAAAGGGAAATAGGTTCCGCGACAGCTAGTTATGGCAGATTATTATTAACTACGACTATTGACCAAAACGTGTAACCAGAAACAAGGTCTGAGTGAGTGGGTGAGTATGGTTTTACGCCGCTTTTAGCAATATTCCAGCAATATCACGGCGGGGGACACCAGAAATGGGCTTCACACATTGTACCCATGTCGGGAATCGAACCCGGGTCTTCGGCGTGACGAGCGAACGCTTTAACCACAAGGCTACCCGAACGCCCCTAACAAGGTCTGAGAATAGTGAACGCATGTCGCCCACTAAACCATCTTAGTCAGGTGCGGTTGCTGCAACAGGGTGTTCTTTGAGCTGAGTACTAACGACCTGGAGCCTCGGAGCAGTAACCTTGTTCGTCAACATACTGGTTGGTCGCTTGCAGTCCATCCTTTGTTTTTTAACGCCGCACACAGCAATATTTCAGCTATATGACGGCGGTCTGTAAATAATCGACTCTGGACCACACAATCCAATGATTGACATCATGAACATCGATATACACAATTGGGATACGATGACATGCATCAACCAAGTCAGCGAGCCTGACCACCCGATCCCGTTAGTCGCCTCCTACGACAAGCATAATCGCCTTTTACGGCAAGCATGGGTTGCTGAAGACCTATTCTACCCCGGATCTTCACGGGTCCCATCCTTTTGTACACCCCTGCCTGCTGTTTATGTATACAAGATACAACGCCACTGTCAATAATTCTTTAACCTATCTGCACCAAACCATGTCTGACAACTAATCATTGAGTTACGCATGTATCTTCCGTCGTAATGTATTATAGTATTCCACATTCACAATACCTTTTGAACTATTTTGTCTCTGGGCACCACGACAAATGAGTGAGTTTGGTTCAACGTTATTTTCAAAATCATCCGTATTATTTATGCAGGTCTCAGACATTTACCATTTTGGTGAAACGCACGAGCACGGGTATGGTGCTGACAAACCAAGAAAAATAATAGGGGCCAACCGGGATTTGAACCCACGATCATAGGTTTCTGGCGCACCAAAGGGACGCAACTCTGCACAGCGAATTGCGCTTCCTTAGATCAATGCAAGTTTGACCATCAACAAATCAACTGGGGACGTCAGGAAT